TTGTTCTTCCTCCTCCAAACATAGCGTTGATCCATGGGCCCAAACAGTTCTAATTTTGTTTCATCAGTCCACAGAACACTATCCCACAACTTTTTTTTGTGGTTTGTCCACATGGCTTTTGGCATACTGCAGTCGACTCTTCTTATTCTTTGGAGACAGCAAGGGGGTACGCCTGGGAGTTCTGGCACGGAGGCCTTCATTACGCAGTGTGCGTCTTATTGTCTGGGCTGAAACTTCTGTACCCACATCTGACAAATCTTTTCTCAGTTCCTCAGCAGTCACACGGGGGACTTCTCTCCACTCTACGCTTCAGGTAGCGCACAGCAGTCGAAGTCAGCATCTTCTTTCTGCCACGACCAGGTAGCGTTTCAACAGTGCCCTTTGCCTTGAATTTGCGAATGATGCTTCCTAAGGTGTCTCTTGGTATGTTTTAACATCTTTGCAATCTTCTTTATAGCCATTGCCCTTCCTGTGAAGAGAAATCACCTCTTCTCTTGTCTTCCTGGACCATTCTCTTGCCTTCACCATGTTTGTAACCACACCAGTAAATGTCTAGAAGGAGCTGAGTATCACAGTCATTTTTAAAGCTGCCTAATTGGTGCTTATTATGCTTGATTGCTGCTCGGTGACATCCACAGGTGTTTTCAATACCTGATGGAAAGCACCTGTATGAACCTCTGTTCTTCAGAGTGGTAGTCTTTAAGGGGTTGAATAATTGTGGCAATGAAGAAACCACATAAGAACCATTTACTACTGTATTACATAAACAATTGATGTCATTTTAGTTGCATTTGGGTAGTTACAACGTCCTTGTAGGATTTGATTCTGAATACAATTCCAAATGTACACTATAGTCCCTAAACCCCTTTACAGCATTGGGGGTTGAATAATTTTGGCCACAACTGTATATATATATATATATATAAATATATTTTTTTTTTAAATATCTATTTATGGATAAGGGACTGATGTGAATGTACAATATTTCTGTGAAGCGCTGCGTAAAGTGACGGCGCTATACAAGTACCTGTAATAAATAAATATATGGAAAGGCTATACCGTAAATCTACTGTAAAGTGGTACCTCATTTCTCCATATTAATGTGATATTAAACCTTCCATTTTGATTGTAAGCTCCACGAGCAGAGCCTTCCTATTTCTCCTGTATTGAACTGTGGTGTAATTGTACTTGTCCCCCATCTTATTGTAAAGCGCTGTACAAACTGTTGGCGCTATATAAATCCTGTATATAATAATATTCACTTTTTTTTTTTTTTTTTTTTTTTTTTTAGCATTCAGTACTGATTTTTAGCATCTTTATTTTTTAATTCTTGCCTATGTTCCAGTTTAAGCAGGTGCCATGATCACTGCCCCAGGTATCCTGTTTCAAGATGACTCCCTTCTCTTGCAGTGTCCTATGAAGCCACCCTTGCATGCAAGAATTAGAGCATGGGTGTCAAACTGGTGGCCCTCCAGCTGTTGCCAAACTACAAGTCCCATGAGGCATTGCAAGATTGACAGTTACAAGCATGACTCCCAAAGGTAGAGGCATGATGGGACTTGTAGTTTCGCAACAGCTGGAGGGCCGCCAGTTTGACACCCTTGGACTAGAGTCTCACACACACGTTCTCCAGGCTCCAGGCGCAAACAGCATCTAAAGTTGTAAACTGCTAGTGCTGGGGTGTTTATTTTATTGTGATCAATTTGTTGGGCTTAAAAACACCAAGAGTTTAAAGTGGTTCTAAAGCCTGAAGGTTTTTTTGTTTTTGTTTTTTTACCTTTGTGCATTCTATGTAAAAAAAAACCCTTCATCAATGGGCAGCTGCTCCCTTTAGTACATCAATGGGCAGCTGCTCCCCCCTATACTGACCTGAGCCCAATCTTGATCCAACGATGTGCACGACAGCAGAAGCTCTCCCGGGTCATTGCCTCCTCATTGGCTGAGACACAGCAGCGGAAGCCATTGACTCCCACTGCTGTCAATCACAGGCAGTGAGGAGGGTGCGGGGGCGGGGCACACAGAGGCGGCTTGGGCGTGACCATGCACTAGTGCTCTGGGGCCATTCAGCAGGGGGGGAGAGACCTGGGGGGCTGACTGGGGATCAAAGAAGAGGAGGATTGAGGTTACTCTGTGGAAAACCATTACGCAAAGCAGGTAAGTATGACATGTTTATTATTTTAGAAAAAAACAAAACCTTTACAATCACTTTAATACTACTTTAAATAAACTAGCAAATCTAGTGGCATGCCAATTAATCTGGTATTAAATGAGAATCGTTCTACATAATTTAATGGTTTCTTAAAGCCATACAGATCACATTCTCATGAATATTCAGCTTAGAAAATCTGCTCCTGCTGCATACATCCAACCAGTATCATTTTAAAAAAGGCTGTTTTGTATAATACAATGGTATGTCAATCTCTCCTTTCATTGTAGTTTTGTGTGATTTTTCATTTCTGGGTGGAGATAGCACATAAGGCGCGTGAACCCTACCCGTGCAGCTATTTGCAGCCGCGGCTATCCTTTGCCAGGTCCCAACTGGTGATTACTCGCTGGCGCCCGGTGATTGCCGAGCTTCTCTGACAGAGAGAACTGTTTGTAAACAAAACAGTTCACCTCCCTGTCAATTTGTGCACACTGCTTTGGATGGCTGTGCACAGCACAGCTATGCAAAGCAGTGTGCTTACAGTGAAGCACAGGGACACCGCACTTACTAAAACAGCACACAGTTAACCCTTTGCCCAAATGTTAACCCCTTCCTGCCCAGTGCCATTAGTACAGTCTCAGTTCTTTTTTTTTTTTTTTTTTAAGCACTGATCACTGTATTTGTTGCACTGGGGATGTCAGTGACACCAAGTCAGTTCCCCCCAGTGTCAGAATGCCCGCCGCAGTTCCACTATAAGTCGTGGATTGCTGCCATTACTAGTAAAAATTGAAAAAAAATCCCAGTATATATACCACTATTTGTAAACGCTATAACTTTCACGTAAACCAATTAATTTACACATATTGTTTTTTTTTTTTTTTAGAAAAAACATGCAGCAGGATACATTTTGGCCTAAATTTATGATAAAATTAGATTAAAAAAAATTTTTTTTTACTGGATATGTTTAATAGCAAAAGGTCAAAAATATGTTTGGTTTTTTTTATAGTGCAAAAAATAAAAAATGTGATCAAATACCACTGAACAAAAGCTCAATTTGTGAGAAAAAAAGGACATAAATTTCATTTGGGTGCAGCGTTGCATGACCGCGCAATTGTCAGTTAAAGTAACGCAGTGCCATAACACAAAAAATGGCCTGGTCAGGAAGGGGGGTAAATCCTCAGGGGGGCAAGAGGTTAAATTAAACAAAAAACTGTTATCTAGACAGGTGTACTTGACTATCCTAATTCACATTTCTAAAACAATTTTTTTTTTTTTTCAATGAAGATGGCAACAAAGCTTGCATTTAGAATCTTTTTATTACTGTATTTTTTTTTTTTAATAAAATACAGGTGGTTGAACAACTGTTAACACTAGTTATAACACCACAGTACTCGTATAGTGCAAGATAAGTGTGTATGAATATGCTTGTATATATACAGTGTGTGTGTGGGGGGGGTGTATAATAATAATAATAAAACATTTTTTATATATATAATTTTGTATGTTCTTTTATTGTGTTTTGCCTGTTACTGATTCTGGTGGAAATGCCTATAAACGTTCTGGCTGATTGCAGATGTGTCCTATCCCATTTGTTGGGAAATATGTACAGTATATATACTTTGTGTGTACATATCTATCTATCTATCTATCTATCTATCTATCTATGATGAGAGATATATGAATATCTTGGTAGGCTACATCTATAGACTGATCCCTATGAATGTATCTTACACGCATTTTTAGTAGTTTTTATGTAAACCAAAATTTTATTTTAAAGTAAGTTTGGCATCATGCCTCACCATATACAGTTTTATAAAGCAATCTGTTGCAGTTATACAGGCAGACAACCCAAAAGCGCTGCCCTGCAATTAGAATCAGTGTTGTCATCCTGCTGTATGTTGGCATTCGGTCTCCTGTTCAGATAGGTAGCCCAAATGAAGAAGTACACACAGGCTGACAATGCTAATTGCATGGCAGTAGCTTAGCATTGTATACCGACAACTGGAAGTGGTGTTACTGGCAGGATCTTCAAGTCAAAAACATTGCAACAGATTCACAAAAAACAATTTTCTTAGGAAAACTGTACATAGTGAGGCATGATGCCAAACCTACTAAAGAACAGAATTTGGGTATACCTCCACTTTTCTCTTGGTGAAGTAGTTGCACTAAGGTAGCATGGCAATAATGCAATATGACACAGCAATAGGTGTTATACAATGCTGACTTTTCAATGTGCAATTCCTGAGCAAAAACCGGGCAGTGACATGTATATAGAACACAATATGTAACAACACATTCAGGTAATATTAGCTTTCAAAGTACAGTTTTTAAAGGTTCTGTACATAAAAACCTGCTATTGTGGACAAACAAAGCAAAAGCAATTTGTTTGGGGGGAAAAATATATAATAAAAAAAAATAATAGTAATAAAAAAGAAAATATATGTTTTTTTTCCCCCTTCTTACACACATATACACATACACACGCACAGTTGTTTTTCAACAGGATCCTAATTTTGATACTGGATAATTGTGTTCGCTTTAAATCTTCAGTAAACCTCACCACATACACCCCTTCCCTGTAGTTACCCAAAAGTTCTGCCATACGATCAAGTCATAGTATATGTCTCTTGTTTGTGCTTGTATTTGAGCTCATTGCGTTCTTTTCTTCAAGACCGTGAAGACACAGCATACCCTTCCTGTAGACTTGCATACAATATATACAGAAAAGTACTTTCTTCATGTTAGGGATCTTGAATCTGCTCTAGTAGACAATCTTTTCCAGGCTTCATATGGTATGCAGTGCACCCCTATGACAGTTGGTTTTGTTGGCTTTAGTCTGAAGGATGGTCAGATGTCAACAGATGCTACAGCTGTTCGTCTTGTTCATTGGAGGTTTAGGGTTCTGTTCATTGGGAATGGTCTCCCTTCTCTTTCTTAGTGCTGGACTTAATCGACAGGGCAGGTTGACTTCTCGTAGTAATTCCCTGAATACTTCGGTCACGTTCAGGTTTTCCTTTGCCGACGTCTCCAACAAACGACAGTTCCACTCAAGTTCGACCATTCCCATCACGTCATCCCAGAAGACCTTCTGGGCATCACCGTTGTCCTTCTTGTTGCCAACCACCACCATAGGTGGGCTTTTTTCCTCCTTTGCATCCAGGATCTCTTCCCTCAATCTTTGTACAATTTCAAAGGATTCTGGGTTATCTACAGAATAGATCAGTGCAAAGGCATCCCCACAACGCATACTCAGTTTCCTCATGGCTGGAAATTCATAGCTTCCAGTGGTGTCCAGAATTTCAATAGTCACTTGAGTCCCTTCTGCAGTTTCGTATTCTGTGCTGTGTAACTCTTCCACTGTCCTCCTGTGCTTTGGATCAAAGGTATCCTGTAAAAATCGATGGATCAGAGCTGTTTTTCCCACACCTGCTGCTCCTAAGAATACCAGCCTGATATGGTTTTTCTCCTTAACAGATAATGACATATTTGCAAAGCAGGGTGGTTGGGCTCTCCGGCTAGTAAAAAAAGCAGCCTGATGCTTCGTGGTTAAGACCAGAGTGCATTCATTCCCTGTACCTCTGACAATATATTCACATTTTCCTTGATGAGGTAGTCATGCCTTTATCCAATCAGGCGCGGCTGCTTGAAGATGAACTGTAAGGGAGGGGGGACCTGGCATGCTGGTTCACATCCAGTATGTCTGTGTAGATTGTATGTGCGTCTGTTTTTTAGTCATTTCACTACAAATCCCTTGCTGTAATTTTTATTTTCCTACAAGATAAATAGTGAAGAGATCACATGCACTAATATGTATCCTGAAAACAATGAGTCTCTACTGACCATAGATGGGTTAATTTGTGAAGATTCAATGATTGAACATCCATAACATAGCAGTATTCTAGGTATACAATGTTTCCCTGACAATGGATAAAATGAGAGATAATGGTGGTGTTTTTAGACCTCTTTTGGAGAATCATTCTCTGCAGCGAGTCACTTCCAAGAACTTCTAGAATTACAAATAAATGGTTAGCACTCGGGAAGCTGTGTAACAGATCAGAAGAAAACAACCGATTGCTGTAAAATTGAACAAAGTCATCTAAAATGATCTCAAAAAGTGTTGCAGCCACCGCAGCTGGCTGTCAGAACACAGAAGCCTCATGGGGAGATTTGGCAACCATGCGGTTTAGTGTGGATGGAGGGATCTGTTAGATATTTTTTTCTATTATTATTCAGCCTGCAGGCTGCCTGCATTTGTGTATGGCTGGCATTCGCATAGGCACTCCTAGAGTAAGAGTGTTATGAAGAGCAAGAAGGGAGGGGGCTATGTCAGGGAATTGACTCTTCCTGAAGAGGTCAAATTTGCTAGCAAGTTTAACCGCTTTCCGACCACCCAATAGTAGATATACTGCTACAGGGCGGCACGGGTGCGCAAAATTTTTCATTTCCTGGTAGGGGGTGCGTGCCCTGCCCACGGCTGTCAATCACCGGGTCCTGGCCGGTGATTACTCACTGGATTCCGGTGATTGCCGAGCATCTTCGACGAGGAGGAGAACTGTTTGTAAACGAAACCGTTCTCCTCCCTGTCAGCTTATGCACACTGCTTTGGATGGCTGTGCACAGCCATCCAAAGCAGTGTGCTTACAGTGAAGCACACACACACAAATGGCCCAAGTATAAAACACCCAGCACACAGTTAACCCTTTGATTGCCCCTCATGTTAACCCTTTCTTGCCCAGTGCCATCAGTACAGTGTCAGTGCTTTTATTTTTATTTTGTTTTAATTTTTTTAAGCACTGATCACTGTATTGGTGTCACTGGAGATAGCAGCGACACCAAGTCCGTTCCCCCCCAATGTCAGAATAGCAAAAATTCAGTCTTCTTTTTTTTTTTTTATAGCGCAAAAAATTTAAACACACAGGCAATCAAATACCACCGACAGAAAGCTCTATTCGTGGAAAAAAAAGTACGTAAATTTCATTTGGTTGCAATGTTGCATGACCGTGCAGTTGTCAGTTAAAGTAACGCAGCGCTGTAACGCAAAACATTACCTGGTCTAGAAGGGGGGTAAATCCTCAGGAGGACAAGTGGTTAAAGGCATATTACAAGTTGATTAGTTTCTTTTTTTTTTTTTCTTTTTTTTAATGGTAAGAAAAACACTAAAGAAGCAATTAAAATACTTGATTTTCCTGTTACCTAGAATTTTGTAAGTAAATGACAGCTCACAGCCTGTGTTGATGGCATTAGTTTGATGTCAGTTTGAGATACATCTGCGATCATTCAGAATTCATTGACAGGTGAGTTTGACTTGCACTTGACTTCTTTTGACCTGCTTCAAATATGTTTTGTATTTCAATAGACATGTATGGGAATGTAAAACCCACTTTAACCATTTGATCTCCAGAAGGTTTTACTATCTTCATGACCAGGGCTATTCAGCACTGTGCTACTTTAACTGGAAATTGCTCGGTAATGCAAACTGTACCAAATTAAATTTTACAAAAAATTTTCACACAAATAGAGCTTTATTTTGGTGGTATTTGGTATTTGATCACCATGGTTTTTTTTTTTTTTTATTTTTTGTTATATAAACTAAAAAAGGTCAAAATGGATTTTGCTATATCTTTGCTAAAAGCAAAAAATAAAATTCCAATAAGTGTATATTAATTGGTTTGTGTGAAAGTTATAACGTCTACAAACTATGGTGTATATATCCTGGAATTTACACAGCTATTGACGCTATACTGATAACGGCAGTGATCAGCAACTTCCAGTGGGCCTGTAATAGTGTGGTGGGTAATCTGGCGCTAACAGATACTGGCTAGGAGGGACACTGACTAACTGACACTGATGTCACTAGTGACACTAATACAGTGATCAGATATACTGTACTAATGGCAATGGCTGGGAATGGATTAACATCTAGTGGTAATCGGGGGGGGGGGGTTAACTATGTGACAAAGGTGTAATGTGTGGTTCGCAGAGCTGGCTGTTTTTTCTTCCCTGCTTTTCATGGAGAAGAAACGGCCAGATCACTCTTCTGTATACGCATTTGTAAACACAGATCTCTGTACTGTGACTGGACAGAGCCAATCAGTGAGTTTGCAAAATCATTGGCTGCAATCTGCTGACAAACTAGTGCCGTATCCAATCACAGCATGGGTCAGCAGGGGGTGTGCGCCTGGAAGCCAGGCGGCGATGTATGCGGACGTTGCATAGCCTGGCTGTGCCGCCCACCAAATACATGTACCGTGGGTGGGTGCAAGTGGTTAATTAAAAAAAATCCAGTTTTAACACAGGACCTATATCAAACCTGTTCTTCACCCAGTCAGGGCAAAAGAAACAAATATGCTTTAATCCTTCCCTCCCCAGCAACATATACTTACCTTATCTTTGTTTCCCCAACATTCCATCCAGTGCAAAGGAAATACCCAGAACTTCTGTCTGCGTGAAGAAGCTTGTGACTTAAGCTGGCTACTGGCAGCATTTTGCTGTGCTGAAAAAATGTGACCACTCCAGGAATATGTAATTCTCTAGCACAGCCCCCTCTCACCTGCCACATCATAGTGCTCTCCTCTTTTGGGAGTGTTTACTGTGTGTGCTGACCCAGCTCCTCTGCCTCTCTCTCCCCTCACCTCCCTACTTAAAGTGTTACTAAACCCACAACAGTAAAATCAGTCTGTACAGTGAGGAACAGAAGTATTTGAACACCCTGCGATTTTGCAAGTTCTCCCACTTAAAAATCATGGAGGGGTCTGACATTCACATTGTAGGTGCATTCCCACTCTGAGAGACAGAATTTAAAAAAAAATTCAGGAAATCACATTGTATGATTTTTAAAGAATGTATTTGTCTTGCACTGCTGAACATAAGTATTTGAACACCTGAGAAAATCAGTGTTAATATTTGGTACAGAAGCCTTTGTTTGCAATTACAGAGGTCAAATGTTTCCTGTAGTTCTTGACCAGGTTTGCACACACTGCAACAGGGATTTTGGCCCACTCCTCCACACAGATCTCCTCTAGATCTGTCAGGTTTCGGGGCTGTCGCTGAGCAACACGGAGTTTCAGCTCCCTCCAAAGATGTTCTATTGGATTTAGGTCTGGAGACTGACTAGGCCACTCCAGAACCTTGATATGCTTCTTACAGAGCCACTCCTTGTTTATCCTGGCTGTGTGCTTCGGGTCGTTGTCATGTTGGAAGACCCAGCCACGACCCATCTTCAAAGCTCTGACTGAGGGAAGGAGGTTGTTGCTCAAAATCTCACAATAAATGGCCCCATTCATCCTCTCCTTAATACAGTGCAGTCGTCCTGTCCCCTTCGCAGAAAAGCACCCCCAAATCATGATGTTACCACCCCCCATGCTTCACAGTAGGGATGGTGTTCTTGGGATGCAACTCATCCTTCTTTTTCCTCCAAACACGACAAGTGAAGTTTTAGACCAAAAAGTTCTACTTTGGTCTCATCTGACCACATGACTTTCTCCCATGCCTCCTCTGGATCATCTAGATGGTCATTGGCAAACTTCAGATGGGCCTGCTCTTTACACATTGGAAATATGTGTTTTCGATGGTCTTAGGTGACCCCTGGTGAAAGGGTCTTTTCGAACCCTCAAAGGGGTCCTGTGACACTTTCAACACATGTGATGACTTGAGCAGCGGAACCTTCCGTGCAATGCATGATTTGAAACTATGACGGCGTAGTGTTCTACCGACAGTGACCTTTGAAACTGTGGTCCCAGCTCTCTTCATGTTATTGACCAGCTCCTGCCTTGTAGGTCTGGGCTGATTCCTCACATTTGTTATTATCAGTGATACCCCACGAGGTGAGATCTTGCATGGAGCCCCAGTCCGAGGGAGACTGACAGTCGTCTTTAGCCTCTTCCATTATCTAACAATTGCTCCAACAGTTGATCTATTTTTACCAAGCTGCTTGGCAATTGCCCCGTAGCCCTTTCCAGCCTTGTGGAGGTCCGCAATTTTGTCTCTGGTGTCTTTTGACAGCTCTTTGGTCTTGCCCATGGTAGTAGTTGGCGTCTGACTGTGGGGTGGACAGGTGTCTTTAAAGAGCTCAGACAGGTGCTACTAAGTTAGATTAATGAGTGGAGTAGAGGTGGACTTTTTAAAGGCACAGTAACAGGTCTTTGAGAGGTCTTTGAGAGCCAGAATTCTTGCTGTTTCTTAGGTGTTCAAATACTTATGTTCAGCAGTGCAAGACAAATTCTTTAAATATCATACAATGTGATTTCCTGAATTTTTTTTTTTTTTCTTTTAAACTCTGTCTCTCAGAGTGGGAATGCACCTACAATGTGAATTTCAGAACCCTCCATGATTTCTAAGTGGGAGAACTTGCATAATCGCAGGGTGTTCAAATACTTCTGTTCCTCATTGTATATGCAGTAATGCATGCTGGTTATACTCACTGTGGAACCTAAGGGGTTAATCCACACTGTGTAAAAAGGCTGATGGAGCCTGTCTTCTCTGATCCTCCCCTTCTACTGTCCCCAATCCATCTGCTAATAGTACAGAATTCTAGGAGTCACTCTGCACATGCTCTGTTTAGTGTGTATTGCT